TGTCTCCGGTCCGATCGAATTTCAGATTGAGCTCTCTGTAGCGAACGCCTTCTTTAAAGGCACAAACTGCTTGGTGCTCTGACACATTCTCCACTATGTGATGAAGGTTAGTCCATCTCTGGATATAATCTCTCAAAGTCTCATTCTGTTTCTGAATACAATGTTGCAATTCTGCCAAACCAGCAGGTCACTTGCAGGTACCCTCGAATGTTTTGGTAAATACTCGAGCTAAATCTTCCCAACTGAAAATGCTCCTAGGAGCCAACTGATTCAACCAAGCTCTGGCAGAACCCTCAAGCATCAAAGGGAGATGTTTCATGGCCACCTCATCGTTACCACCACCAATGTGCACTGCCACCCGTTAATCCTCCAACCAAGTGTCGTGCTTCGACTCTTCGGTGAACTTACTTACGCCCGTCGCCAACCTGACGTTGTGAGGGATCTCAGCGGCTCGGATGGCTCTTCCAAAGCACTCGGGGCCGAAAACGTGCACTCTGCTTCCACTGGGTCGATCTCTATCCAGCCCTTCTCTGTATGCTCTGTTCCTGTCGACTAGACCATGCACAAGGACTGACCTTGCGTCGAACCCAAGCTCTCTTGGGTCGACTGGAACTCTACGGTCATTACCATACGGGTGCCTATCGTCATACCGCCGGGGCGCATATGACCCGCCCCTCGGAGGGGGCGAAGGAACTCGATGGTGGTTGTCACGGGCCTACTCACGATCAAATTCTCCATGGGCTCTTCCCAGGTGCCGTTCTCGACGGTGATCATGATCTTCACGTTGCAAAGGTGACTCAGGACTGTGTGCTGACTGAACTGTGTCTGCCCTCACTGACCTGTTGTGGATCCTGTTGCGCGACTGAGAAACGGAGGAGTTTTGCTCTCCTGTTGCCCGGAGCAGCGCTCGGATCTGCTCCAAGCCTCTTCCGGCCTCTGAGCGGGATGGCTGAATAGATTCTTCTATACATGCAGTAGCTGTAAGATTTTGGATTGAAGTACGGTATACCTGGGGTTCAGGTGGGAACAATTGTCATTGTCGTTGACTGGATTTGAGGATCAATCAACGGGCACGTTCGTCAAGAGAATGTTGGAGGTTCTCCAAACGCGCGTGCTCGGCCAACGTGGCCAAGCGCGCAGCCTCCAAGGCCCGAGCCTCGGCAGTCTCCCCCACGATGGCGGTCTGGAGCACCTCCATGTTGCGGCGGTGCAACTCTTCCCTCTGCTGTGAATTGAGAGGTTGGGGCTCGTACTCATCATGGTCATACGACGGGCCGTCACCGTTGCCGTTGCCACCGTTGCGGTGAAACCCGTGTGGGCTGCGACGAGAGTCGACCATGAGAACTTCTGTCGCGGGGTCGCTGCTCCCGCACTCGGAAAGAGTATCCGCGGAGCCAGTCGACTAGTCCATAGATGAATTCGCCAGGCTCGATCGCTGCGACTTGAGGGGTGGCCGTATGACGGGCCACTGCATGCTTGACCCACCGAAGGAGCCACGACCGGCCGGGTCGCTTGCAGCGACGTCTAGCGGAATGAGCAGATGATGCAAGGGCCGATCGATACGTAGTCGACGGCTGTCGTAGAAGAACGCCGCAGGCACTCGCACGGAAGTGTGATGCCCCGCGTATCGGAAGAGCCTCGATATCGAGGGGGGCTTCTTGAAGCCAGGCGGAGTCGTCGGCGACGAAAGTGAGCGCGCTGAGTCGGAACTCGCGGACCACAACCAAACCACCGCCGGAAACCATGTTGATGAAGATCGGAAAAAATGCAACCTCGCCAGAAGTTGCCAAGACGCTTTTCCCCACGGTGGGCGCCAACTGTCATGGTACTAAGTCTGACAGTAAGAGTAGGGGATACGTATGAGGAGGCAAGGCCTTAGCTATGGCGAGGTTGTACACACGAGTTTACAAGTTTAGACCCCTATCGGAGGAGGTAAAATCCCTAGGTCTCGATGCCCTGAGGCGGTCGACTGGAATATGGGTGTGTGTTACAGGGGATGCGAACCCTTGTGCTAGAGGAGGGGGTGGCTTATATAGAGTGCGCCAGAACCCCAGCCATCCCCCGTTACAGGGTTCAATGTACATTAAGACAGGGTGTTACTGGTAACGCCAGCGAGCTATTAATGATCTTTAAGACTACAGAGTGAACGCCTAACCGTTGCCATCCTGAGTGACTAGGTCTTCTATACTCCGAGTGGTTTCTTGTATGGTCGAGTGACCTCATCTTGGTCGAATGGAATTGGGATATCCGAATGAGGTAATTGGTCGAGTGGATTGCACTCCATGGTCACTTCAGTCGGCATCTCTTGTTATACTTCGAATGTCCTTGATTCTAGGGTAGTGAATTTGGATAGGGCGTATAGGTCAGGTCTATGACCCTACCCTAGGTCCATGGCATCGTCAGCTAGCTACATAGTTAGGAAAGAGTTCATATTCCCCATAAACTATTGGTTTGCTCACTTCCCCTCTGAACGATTTATGAACCCACTTAACCCCTGAAATACAATTTTCCGGTTCGGATCGCTGGTGATGCAAAGAGTTGTGCGAGGTTGACAATAGTGACTAAGACCTTAGGATCTCATGGCAGCTTGACTCTACACATCACCATCGCAAAACCAAACAGATGGAATGAGAGAGAAGAGGGAGTAAAGAGAGCACATCCATATGGATGCACAAAGGATATGGTCTGAAATGGACGAGTGTTATAGAATGAGAAGGTGGAGGGATACACGTGGAGGGCGTGCATATGCCACACTAGCAAGCTACCATCAAACTATTATCGAAATCACTGCCCAAAACTGGTCACGGGGTACAACTCCAAAAAAAGGTTTTATGATATCATGAAAATTGGGAGCCTAAGAGAATTAGGAAGAAAAGTGAGCCAAGTCAATTGTATAGGAAAGGAAATTAACATTCCACATATAGAAAATACTGAGGGAGTGATAGCAACAGGGGCCACTGGATCTACTCACTATACAAGGTTATGTCGTATACTCAATGAAGGGAGTAGAAATGTTTATAGATGCTACAGATCAAAACAAAAGAAAAATAACATAAATCACAAACATTTAACATCTCACTTGACATCTACACGGCCTGCACTACAAACTTGTAAAAATAAATGGAAAAATATGAACACAAATTACATGGAATCATTTTTCCTTTACCGAAAAAGGCTTTCGCCCCGCTTTATATATAAAGCACCGATCAACAAGCACCCAGTACAGACACACGCCACCGCAACACACGCACACACCCAGGACAAGATACATAGACGCTGAGCGCAGCAACACCACCCCTAGCACTACCACCACGAAGAGATGAAACTACATATGACGAACCATGTGCTTCAAGGCGGCGCCTTCAAGAAGGGGACGACACCGGAACGCCGCCACCGCCCGATCCAAGGATCAGAGTTTCCCTGGAGCCGCATGACGGGCAATGAGAGCCGCGACGACGCCTTCAAGTAGGGAACGATCTTCGCCGCCGCCGATCCATCCGAAGATAGAACAGGTTTTCACCTCGGCCAACGCTCACCGCCACCGAACGCCACACCCCGGCTACCACGCCGCCCACACGGCCATGGTGACCAGGCAGCGCCAAGGCCCGGGCTCCGCCCAAGAGCACCGCGCTACCACCACCCAGGCCGCAACCCCGGCATCCAAGACCTTGACACCACCTCACCCGAGACCCGCCGCAACTCCAACGGAAGAGACGAGCTAAAAGGTCCCACCTTTCTCACCCCTGGACGACCCACAGCGTCGAGACCCCAATAGGCCGGCCAGAACTGACATCCACCGACCCGTCCTGTTGCCTCGAGCGTGAGACGAGCTCGGTCCTGCAGCACCGAGAGGGGGACGAGGTCAGTCCTGCTGCACCGTGCGCGAGACGAGCTCGGTCCGGCTACACCGTGCGAGACGAGTTCGGTCCTGCAGCACCTTGCGTGAGACGAGCGGTGGACCGTAGCTGGGAGAGGACCAGCCCTCTGATAAGAGTAGTGCCTGGGCGACGAGGAAATGGATCGAAGGTCGAGATGGTCCGCACGCAGACGAGCCGACACTGGAGAAGCCGGCCGCTGCCGCGTGTAGATCCGTCGAGCCACCGTGAAGCCGCCACGACACAGGGAGGCCACCCGACGGACCTCCCCACGCCACCGCCCACGGCCAGAGCAGCGGCCACGCCAGGCCGCTTCCCAACGTGCGTTGCCCGGCGAACTCCAAGCGACGGAGCCGCCGGGCACGCACCACCAGAGCCACGCGCCTTGCCGCCCCCTCCCGGAGACCACCGCCACCACCACCCGCGTCGACCGCACGAGCGCACCAGCCGGCACACTGCACCATGCTGGAGGCCGGCCCAGCCTAGCCGGACACCGTCCCCAGCTCGCGCCGCCGCGGCCCGCGGCCCTTGCGCCTGGATATGATGAGGAAGCCCCGAAGAAGCCAGCACCTCACCCTCCCCACGCACAAGCCCGCGCCACCAAAACCACGCAGCCGCCGCCGCTCCGCCGCACGACCGCACCACCGGTGCGCCGCCCGGGTCGCCGCCGCGCCGTCCCGCACGAACGACGCGATCCTCTCCGTGGCCCTCCGTCCCGCGCTGTCGGAAGCCAAGGAAGAAGGGAAGAAGGCCCCGCCGACGCCGACGCCAGCCGGGCTTTGCCCGGCGGCGCCCTCGGGTGGCGGCAGGGGGGGGGGCAGGGTTGGGGAAGGGCTGCTGGCCGGCGGCAGCTAGGGTTCGCCCTGCCGCCCGCGAGAGCGGCACGGGTGAGCGAAGTTGCTTCCTTTTCCCCTCCACAAGGATTATCATCATTTTTCCTTTTTACAAATGCCAAGTCAGATTTTGACGTGAAATATCTAGATAACTTTCTTACTTGTATATTTTTTTTGAAAAGGGGGTTTACCCCGGCCTCTGCATCAGAAAGATGCATACGGCCATATCTAGATAACTTTCTTACTTGTATATACTGTAGGACGACAAGTAGGCACAAAATAGAAACAATACCTTTTGCTGGCTAGGAAACTGTTGATATTGATGATGACTTGTTGTATGCTCCCTGCTTCGGTGTCAGAAAAACGTCGACCACTGACTTTACTATGAATAATTCTCATGATATTTATCATATCTGGATTTCGTGCCACGGATAAGAAGGCCCGACATTTGAATTTCTTGTTGAGGTCTTCATACACTTGGTTTGCAAGAGTGGTTTTGCCCATTCCTCCAGTTCCTACGATGGAAATCAACTTCAGTTGATTATCTGTTGACGCACCTTCGTTCAACAATTTGATTATCTCAGCCTTAGGTCCATCAATTCCCACAAGCTTTGAGGCGTGCTCAAATATAGAAAGAGCTCTAGGGTCAACGGTCGCATTTTTTGTGTTGGAGAAGGTCTCGCGACTCTTGTACCTTTCATTCCTCTCACCCACCTCAATGATATGTTTCTTTAGATCTTGGATCTCTCTGCCGATCCGGCGGCGAGCCTTCATCTTCCCCAACTTCCCTAGCGAGCTCTTGATCTTCTCAATGAAGCCATCTGGCTTTTCGTCTTTGTTTCCGATGCTCTGCATGAAGTCGTCGATGGCATCCTCTAGGTCATAGGACAGCTCCCGCACCTCATTCATCCAAACTTTATCCTGCTCATTGGGATCCTCGTCCTCGGACATCCTGACGAGAAAAGCCTCCATGGCGGCGAGCTCATGAGTGACGGACTTGATCTCTTTGCGCACACCTTTGAAACGCTTGTACTCATTGGTGAGCAGAGCTGCCAGCTTCTCCAGGACGGGCTTCAGGACCCCCGTGGCCACACTCGCCACAGCCGCCTCCAAGACCATTGTGTTAGGAGATCGATGAATGCACGGACGATAAATAGGTAGATTTGGGTCGTCAATCTACACCCTGAAAACATAACCAGTCAAAGTAAGCCACTGAGCCCAAGCATTTGACGAGCTACAGACGGATCACGCGCAAGTCTCAGGCCACATGGCCAACGCTAGGCGGCGACGATGTTAGATAAAATCTTGATGTTTTCTGCATCTGCATGTTTTGGTTTTTGGTTCTGCATGTAGCCTAGGGAGTCGTCCGGCAAGGTCTCGGCTGAGCGCGCACAGCTGTGAGATGCAGCATGGCCATGAGAAGCGGGTAAGGCGTGGCTGGGGTCAGACCGGCTGGGAAAATCAACTAGAGGAGATCGTCTAGTTTGTTAGTTTGTTAGCGCATGGATAGGTTAGTTAGCCGCATGAGCTTGCACGTCCTAGAGAGATTCTAGGGGAAGAGTTATGCGTGCGTGGGCACTGCTAGTGGCCGCGCCTGCGTGGCTGCGACTTATACAGATGTAAAGCATGTTTACCTTTGACAAGAAATAGACAGAAGAAAACGCTGGCTGTGTGAGGCAGCGGCACCAAACTTCTTGTGTTCCTGTGTTTGTTTCGTGAGTTGTGAGAGGCAGCAGCTACAGGAAGAAGAAGAGGGGTTGAGAGATTCAGCCCCAACAGACGATGACGTATGAGGGAGGCTTGAGGAGATGAAAGCACGACATGGAGGCGGGAGATGCGGTCATACCTATCGGCCGGGAACGATCGAGCCGTGGAGGATGGCTGAACAAGAACTGGACTGTGGCAGCGTTGGAACCTAGCAGCTCGGAGGAGGCGGACGACTACGCATGTGGTGAGATGAGAGGCGGAGCGAGGATCTTGCAATGGCACGAGAGTGGAGTTATGTGAGGGAGAAGGGGGTCGTTGGCTCTTTACTGGGTCGTTGTTGTTTGCCGTGCACACACTCCGGCCACTAGGCTGTTGTCAAATACAGCAAGCAACAACAATTTCCAAGAAACACCATGCATTTTTGTCACAGTCTTTCTTTTCCAACCGGGCTCACACCATTTTCCATTAATTTTGCAATCAACGGAAATACATCAGTCTGTTTGTTGTTCAACATCAACTACCAACTAGGCACCAAGCCAGATAGAGCGATTACCAGCAAAAGGAGACTGAAAGGGGGGAGCGAGTTGGTGCACCAAGCCAGATAGAGCGATTACGAGCAAAAGGAGACTGAAAGGGGAAAGCGAGTTGGTGCATCAACAGGAAACCCACCGCATTATTATCCCGAAATTACATCGAAGAAGGCGGGGAAAGGATACTCCGCCTGCACCCCATGTATTCACATAAGACTTCTCTCGTCTCGACCCGATCACTATAGTTTTAACAGTTATTAACTTTAGATGCAAATTTGCAAGGTTAATTTCCAAGCCAATAGCATCTCCATCTACCCTGCAAGTAGCAGCGAGCATGACGAATGAAGGTTCATATAATATGGTGCATAGCTAATTTGCAGCTCCGATCCCCATCGTTGGCAATTAAAAGCAGCCACCAAAGTTGCCGTTTAAAACAAATCTATATAGATCTGTTTGAGTGATTAACATAAGTTTGTTGCACCTATCGATCTATGAAAAACGAACTAAGAAAAAAAACTATAGCATGGTTTTACAGATGAACCATCTGGGAAGGACACTTCTACAACAGCGTTGGCAACGGACTTGTTCTTCTGACGGAAACAATTCGTCCGACTATCCAAGGAAGAAGGTTGTATGAAGTTGTATCCACAAACAGAGTTGAGATATGCGGTTGTGCAACCTAACGACCCGATTTCAATTGGTAGAATTGACAGGTGATGCGCAGGGGTTTTCCCCCATTTACTGAGGATCAAGTTTGGTGTGTGGTGGAACCACTCATCAAAAAATATCTTGATACTCATTTAAAAAATATTCTCTGGACCATGTTTATCTTGGTACTCATACTAAAATGGTCGTATGCATCCCTAGTTCGTGCAGAGACAGGGAAGTGAAAATCTCTCCCATTTTTATGTCGCCGGGCAAAGCCCCGGGCGGCTGACGGCGGCGGCGGAGGCCCCCTTTCCTCCCGTGTTGCATTGGGTGAGGCGAGTCACCTGGGGCGCATGGGCCCTCTTCCCCGATCTGAGTCATCGCGGCGGCGCGGCCGATCTGTCCGGCGACGGCGTAGTGGCGGCGTGGTGATGGGTGGAGGCGGCGGAGCTGCGGGCTTCGTGGAAGATCTGGTGGTGTCGGCTGCTCGGCGGGCTTGCATGGTCATGGCGGCGGAGGTCGCGGTGGCCGGCGGCTTGGCCGGTCAGCGGCGGCGGAACATGGCCGGTGGCAGCGGCGATGGCCTGTCTGGATCCCGGGGCGGCGGCCCTGGATGGTGGCGGCTGGTGAAACTAGGGCTTCCCACGACGGCATGGTGCGGTGCAGTCCCTGTCCAAGGCGGATCTGTGATGGCGATCTGAATTGATTGGTTCGGATCAGAGACGGTGACGAGCGCACGGGATCCATGTCGGCGGCTCTCGCGGCTTGGCGAGGCGGGGTGGGATCCCTCCTCCTCCTCCTAGGCTCTAGTAGTGGCACACTCAGGCAGTGGCCGGTGCGCCAGGGCTCCTACGGTGACATTGTTGTTGCGGTTGGTTGCCGGATCTAGGCGGCTAGATTTGGGGCTTTGAAGGTGGTCGAGACAGTACACAGGTTGTTGGGTGGATTACTTGGGACGGATCCGGGTGAAAACCTGGTCTTCGGTCGATTGCTGGAGCCGGTGATGACGATGACCTTATCATCGTTTCCTTCATGAAGGCATCATTGAGGTGAATCTCCCAACTCCACTAAATACCTCCGGGGGAAACCCTAGATTAGCTGATCGGATGTTGGTGGCAATCATGTGTGTCGTTACCCCCTTGGGGGCGGCATTCTTGGAGGTGCACTCGGCATCTTTGGTGGAGCGGTGATTCATCCTACACATTGATGGCGACGGATCTCGACAGCGTGGCGTAGTGCAGATTTGGAGTTCGATGTGCGAGGATGGACTCGCGCAGGGACGATGACGTTGTCTGGCGTCGTGGTTGCGTCGATGGCAGAGAGACCTGGCACAGTAGATGCAACAATACAACTCTGAAGATGGATTGGTGGCAGGTAGCTGCGGCGGCCTCATACCCGGCAGACGTTCTGGTTGAGGAGTGCGCCGGACTGGTAGTTGCCCCATACCCGGCAGGCGTCCTGGTTGGCACCTCAGGTCTTAGATGTTTAGGTTTGGCTGCGAGGTCTGTTTGGTATTAGGCCCAAACCATCAACTCCCCTTTATCAACTGGATAGGAGTAGCGACAGATGTTGAGACGGTGGCTTTAGTCTTACTGTTGTATGACTTTATAAGGTCTTGTGTTTATAATTAATAAAGTGGCCGCATGCATGGTCCAGATGCAGAGGCCGGGGGTCCTCCTCCTTTTCTATAAAAAACAAACAGAGTTGAGACGTGACTTGTTGTTCCGACGAATATAACTTGTTCATTTGAGTTGAAGGCAATGATTCATTTCTAAACCAGTGGTTATGTAATCCATGCATGTATCCCTTCAAGTTGCAGCCCATACCTTCGACAGCTGGTAAGATAGTAGCGTGTTCGAGTCCATAACACGAAACATCCTGAGAAGGTGCAGAAACTCAAGACTCCAAACACCAGTTCAGTTTTTGTGTATGTAATTGATGCGGTAAAAGCGCAAGTTGAACGGATGCTCATGCATGTTGCCTCACCCCGGCCACATAATTGTATTTCCTTGCTGATAAAGACGGGTTCATATTAAACAAGTAACGCCACTTGATAGCCAAAGTCTCACAATTCGCTGTCCTGAAAATGCTAATTAAGCTTAGATGATGCCCTACCACGTTGATTTAGCCAGCCATGTTGACTGTCAACATGCGTGTCTGGAAGACCGGTTATGAATATGAATATATTGACATATTTGTCCCAATCAATAGGGAAAAAATTGTAAAAAATATAGTTTAGATAGGTTGGTTCTACCTAACACTAAACAAATCAGACTCAAAAAATACAGGATGATTGTGAAGCATCAACTAAGGGTTTTAGGATCAGACTACTTCTTCTTGTCCTGCTGCAGGAAACAGCTAGTGCATTTCCAAACCAGTAACGTGTGTACATCCACCCCCTGCTAGTTGCAGGATGATGATGAAACGCTGATATAATTATGTATTCCCTCCGTCCCAAATTACTCGTCTCTGAAATGGATGTATCTAGAACTAAACTACATCTAGATACATTCATACGTGCAACAAGTAATTCGGAACGGAGGGAGTATACATTTGAGTTGCAGATCACCATCCATCGTTAGCTAATAAGAGCTTTCTTGCAAATTAAAAGCAGCCACCGAAGTCGCCTTTCAAAATTCAACCATATATATACTAGTATTACTGTACAAATAACAAATGGAAAATACAACCATATATAATTATGTCTGTACAATATGATTGGTGTGGTAGGCGAAGCATCCGGAAAGGTCATGCTCTTCTGATGGAATCCAACTTGTCCGTTTGTAAACCAATAATGCAGGTGTCACAAATTGAAGCATCCAAGGAAGGTTGTATCCAAAATAGAGTTGAGAGGTGACTTGTTCTTCTAACGTAAATAACCTAGTTCGTTTCATTGCAATTATTTCGTCTTAACAAAAGGAAAACTGTGCAATTATTGACAAACATGATAAATTTAAGATAGTAGCGTGTTCGGTTCTGTGGCATGAAAAACTCTCAGCAGGTGCAGAAACTCCAATGATTATGACTCAGGCACCACTTCAATAACCACTGGAGATGTATAAACCGCAGAACATTGCTAGTACTGCTGAGAAAGACACCACATATTGAATGGTAGCCTGGATAATCTAGGGAGGAGGATCCACAACATTTCACCACATAAATGTGATTGGGGGTAAGGAGCCAGTAACAATTACAGAAATTAGATGATCAACGAGAAACAATATTTTTAGCGTT